TTTGGAGCTATAAATACACACATGTAGTATGTGATAAAAGAGCAAGTTCACTGTTTACTCACCGGTGGTGCAGTTGTATTAGAGTTTTCAATCTTTTCAATGAAATCATTCATTTGATCCAAGACACCTTTTTCCAATCGGTTTGGGTGTATTACTTTTCGTAATTTAACAATGGCTGACCTTCTTAAAAACCTAAACCGATGTCCTGATCTTAGAAATCCTTCAATAGATAGCACAAATTCAATCTATAAGCATTAAGATGTAATGTATATCTACACAATCAGTTCTTACCTTCAAATTTAGTCTGTATGCATCAGCTGATCTTTGTATTTCATCAGTGTCACCAACAGCTAAACCAGTCTATATAAAATGAGTTAGTTAGTGGGTGGAGCTAATATTATATGAACATACCAATAGATTAAGAAATAGAATTGGCATTAAAACCACAAATACAATTATTAATGAAAATGAAACCACTGGATACTGTACATCAGGAGCATTCATTTGATTATTCTGTCGCAATAATGAATCCATATCATATTCTCCCATTGTCATTATTATTGTTTTGATAATTGTCCTCCATGGAGTGATAAATGGAGTACGCTATAAAAGAGAGAGAGAAAACAGAGATACCGGTATGTTATAATATTCAGTAAGTCTTACTATTTCTTCTGCTCTATCTTGAGGATCATAAAACATCATATAAAAAGGGAATGCAAAGGCTGAGATTAATAGTAAGGCAAGGACAACAGCCTTGATAAAGTTGTTAAAAATTGTAATAAACATGATTGCATATATTCCAACTATTGGTAGCTTCCTTATAGAGAATACAAGTGCAATCCAACTGAGGAATACAGCAATCACTCCAACCTGCCACTGCCATGGATGAGTACAATAGCACTGGTTGCTATGTACTGATGCAAACATTATTGTAAAGATAAACAGTGAGACTTCAATGAAGTTGACAGGACTGGTCAAATACTTTAGTTGGAACTGAATCAGTTGAAATGCTTCCCGTATTATCATGATTGCAGAATAAACTATCAGGCATGTACTAGCAATAGATATGTATCTTTGAGATACAAAACTTTCCTCTTAAACACATAATAGTCACATATGATAGTTATTATATATAAACACTTACTCAAAAAGCAATCACTTGTACCAGTGTCATTTTCAAGTCTCTCAATAACAGTGTTAGTGTTGTTTCCAAACATACGTACCTCCATACCTATTGCAATATACAGGATAGGTAATGAGCTTATAAACATACTTACATTTGCTTGAATTTGGAGGCTGGATCAAAAAAGCAAATGATGTCAGCAGAATGACAAACACAAAATAAATTATCAAATTAGAATAATATAATTTTTGGCCATATTTATTCTATTTTTGATGAAAAAGTGAAACAGCAAGTGGATGCTTCAATAAGCCCCTACTTGGCGAATTAGCCTATGAATAATTAATAATAATAATGATGATGTAATAATAATAATTGATTAATAACTCACAAGAATATTAAGACAATGATTCTGACTAGAGTACTTTGATGGTAGTCTAATAGTCATTACAAATAACAAAGTAAGTCTTACCAGGAGTCCAGATTATGGACTCCTGGTCTTACATATTAATTTCTTACCGATCAAAATCATCAAGGAACTCATAATTAAAAATAATCTCACAATCAGGATGATCTGGTGGGTTATTTATCGTGCAGCACTTATCAAAAACAACTTTAGCTACATCTACATGTAATAGAATCACAAGTGCAATAACCACCAATAATACTAATAACGTATATTAACCTGGCATATTCTTAATTATCCTTCTCATTGGTGTTGTGAATTCCTTTTTGGCTCCATGATTTTTCCTTCTTGTGCAACAATATATTCTTCTAATTCCACCCCCTTTCTTTTTATTAAAATTTCCATCACTTGCTTCTGTATACTGTAATGCATCCTCCCACTTATCACTTTTGACTATAGCCATTGCAGCATTTCTAGATTATTACAAAGAATTATATTAATTATTCATAATTATTAATTCTCACTCGTTCTTGTTCTCTACAGCAATATCAAGAGCATTAAGACCTTTTTTATCACATATAGTAACATCAATATCTTCATGCTCCAGTAGTAGTTTAACTATTTCTGTATGTCCTTGTTCACAGGCAATACCAAGTGGTCTACGCTACATAATAATAATAATAATAATTCTACCATGCCACCTTGCGATTGACCAATCAGATTGCAGTATTGGAGGTCAATTATTTTTCATATTAACCTAGCTCGTAAAAATATAAACCTATCTCGTTAAATAATTAATTGATTGGCAGTTTGGTACTCTACGCTTATGCTCTTATTAATCCATTTGTCAAGTTTGGTTGATTCTTTACTGGCCTAGCCTGTTAGATATGTTGTATGTATGTCAACTGTGGTCTTATTATCAGCAGCTGGTAGTTGTTTTTCCAAGTGTCATGGTAGAAGTTAGTTATACACCTCGGTATCGGTTTCTATGGTATTTATTAACCTCGCGACTGCGTTGCTCGGTTAATAAATACCATAGAAACCTCTACCTCGGTGTATAACCTATACTAATAACTAGGCGAATGTAAAACATTGAGGGGCGAGCAAAACGATTAACATTTCGATTAGCAATATACAATGTTTATATAGACAATGATCAACAATGATGTAGTGGCTATTATGTTGAATGTTGATGTCAATACACTAATGCAGAATTTGCAAGCATGGAAGGAATTTCATAGTTTCTAGCTTTGAGTGAAGAATCTCTGCAGTTATGTAGATCTAGGATGGAAGATGGTTGGTCTCAGAAGCCAGAAGGAGACTCCATTTGTTGTCTTTGGGTGTGACAAGACCATCTCTAGCATTTCTCCGTATTGGACCTCCTCGCTCTTTTCTCCTCCTCACGCTCATTACGAAGAAGTCGACGAGCTTCACGAGCATCTTCTTGTGAATTACTCATGCTTTAAGCTTCAGCTTCTCTTGTTTTTTGAATACTCTTGTCTCTTGAACTCCTCTTGTCCAGTGATTACTGAAGTTGCTCTTTGTTTTTGCACGTGGTACCGTAATTATCAAAATTATCATTTTAAAATGTGTGATTATTACTTTTTATAGACGCATAAATAGAGGTGATGTACGTGTACAAACAAACAAACAAACAAACAAACAGACATACTTGACTCGACTATGTGGGGCTCGCTTTTGCTCGCCCCAATAATAATAATAATAATAATAATAATAATAATTTTAAGCAGGTCTCCCTCCCTTCCAACAGAGGTGGATGGCCTTGTTTAGCCTGGCCCATAGTACTATTAACTACCTACTCTCTATAATAATAATAGTAACTAGACGAATGTAGAACATTAAGGGGCGAGCCTCAGCTAGCAAAAAGCAATTATATGGCACTGGATCAAGTGGATCTATCCATCTATACAAAGCATGCATCACGATTTAGGCATAGCAAGCATGATTTACATGATGAAAGTTTAATGCTGCTGATAAAATCACTTCATAATCATATCATTTATTTTATTTAACTTTTAGTCTTCTAGTTTCACATACACATTCTTTGCCTATAAATGTCTGTAAAGATGCTTTACTTAGCTTTAGATATAATATTATCCAATATTAAGATGACTGAGAAAAAGCTGGATTGACTTTCAGTTTTAATAGCAATTGCATCAATAAAGACGAGCTTCATAGGTTATTAATTGAATTTAAAACCTTCTATAGCTGATGGAGAAGTCTTTGGATGGTGTATCTGCCTTATATTGCTGCTAGAAAGCTCATGAATTCTTCCAGTGTGTTGGTTGCCATTTTTATTTTACTGTGACCGCTCCCACTTTCAATGAAAAATTGAAAATTGCATTGGTAATGCATAGTATCTATCTACCGTATTAGATCTACGCATAAATAGGGGTGACGTACGAGGACAGACAGACAGAAGGGGCGTGACTGAGACTATAGCTAGAGTGGGGCCATAGATATACTAGCACATGGATTAACACATATCTATATATATCTAGTATATCTATGGTGGGGCGAGCTCAGGCTCGCCCCAATAATAATAATAATAATAATAATAATAATAATAATAATAATAATAATAATAATAATAATAATAATAATAATAATAATAATATTAATAATAATAATAATAATAA